GACAGGACGACGCATTCCACTGTCGAGCTCCATTTACACATGACGTGCAAGACCAAGCGGCCCTGCTCAGCTCTTTAATGACATGCCCACGACAACGACCGTCTTTTATTATTTAGTTATATGTTTTAAAGCCCTGGATAACAGAAGGGTCGGGGGGCTCGTCGACGAACCATTTCGCGGTCCAGGGCCTTTCCGACAGAGGGGCGGGGTAAAAATCTCCTGGGCGGGGCAGACCACCGCGAGTGACAGCAAAAAAAATCCGCCGACCCCTTGGGGATCATCGGCGTGTGAGATGCTTCCCCCTCCCCAAACCCCTCCCCCGGGAGCCCGGTCCGGTCGATTTGGAGGGGGGGGGGGGTCCGGGACGAGCGCAGCACGGCTACGGGACGAGCGGCTCACGGGGCTTTTTCGGGCCCAAGAGGGCCTCTAAGACGGCTAGAAGCCCCCAAGAGAGCCTCCAAGACGGCCCACGAAGGCTCCGAGACGCCAAACGACTGGTCCAAGACGCCCACGATGGCCCCAAGACGGGCCAAGAGGTCTCCAAGACGGCCTCCGAGGTCCCAAACAAGCCTCCCAAGAGGACCCCAAGAGTCTAAAATTGTTGAGTTTCCATAGTGTTTTTCTATGTTTTTTGCTTTTCCGCCTTTTCGGCTTCCCGACGCTCCAAGACGGCCAAAGAGGCCCCAAAGACAGCCCCAAGATGGCCCAAGAGGCCCCCAAGACGGCCTCCAGACGGCCCAAGACGGCCCCAACACGGCCCAAGAGGTCCCCAAGACGGCCCAAGAGGGCTCCAAGACGGCACCAAGAGGGGCCCAAGAGGGCGACCAAACATGTTGAAACTCTAGCTTTCTGCCCCCAGGAGCCCCAGGGGGCCCCAAGAGTGCCCCAAGAGGCCCCCAGAGGCCCTCACGAGGCCGCCCAGACGCCCCAAGGAACCCCCAAGAAGCACCCCAGAGGCTCCGAAACGGCCCCCAAGTGGCTCCAAAACTCGCGGTGTCGCCGTCCACTCGGACCCCCCCGCGGAACTGCCCGAGACCCTCTGGCGGTGGCGGCGAACAGACACCAAACAAATATCACTCGCCTTTTCACCCCTTCGCAGCTTCTACTACCCCCAGATTGGCATAAACAAGGGGTGGGCGGTGTGGCGTAAGCCTAAGAATCTGCCTGACACGAATTGGTCTATTCCATCCAGCACTTCTTGATCGACAACTTCGGGACGCAGGTCAGCCAACTTAGGACACTTCCATGGTCGGTGGAAAAGTGTGTCTCTGCATCCACAGCCCAATGGACACAGGTCCGAATGCTGGTATCCTCGACTGATGGCGTACAACCTAGTCCAGATCGCTCCTGTGCTCGCCGCTCTCCAGGTCCCTTTTTCCAAATGATGTAAATTTTCTTGACGCGAGGTGCTTCGTCACCACATCGAAACAAGCTCTATGGGGAAATGGTGATTGTCCCCGATGGCGAGCTCGAGCTTGCGGGACACGGCATCGCGCAACTGGAGGCGAAACATGGCGGGAGAGTGTAGGATCATCCAAAGTTCATAACCTCGATCCGTGATCTAGGTACAGAAATTTGGCATTTGTCATCCCAGGCGCTCCAGAGATTCTCGCATCGCGGACCCAGGGCCAGAAACTCCGCCACGTTCGGAGGCGCTTCCCCCAAAAATGGCCCCAGGAGCCCCGAAGCTGCTGGAAAGAAAGCGCAGAGGGATGGACGCCGAGCCTGGCATTCCATAATTCTCTGTGCCATCTAATGATGGGGGCCACCTGGGCCATCCAGGTGGGATCCTGCTCGAGCAGGGGCACGATGTACAAGCTTCTATCCCCAACCGACGGCTTCAAAAATGACGCGACAGAGCGTCTCGAAGAGAGAGCTTCCGCGTCGGAAACTCCGAAAATCTCAGCCCCATACGCGGCCGCAGGGAAGGGCCCAGCCACCCAAATGTTTCGAGCTCTCCTCCCGATAGTCCTAACCATTTTGCCCAACCGTCGAGCTCTAGCCGCCGAGGAAACTGTTCGCCGCTTGGCTTTCGCATGCTTGCCGCGGTGCCTTTGAGGAAGGCCGGCAGAATCGTCAGCCCCGAGGTTGGCAGCAGCTTGCACAATCGGCCCCGTCGGCGCAGGACCTAAGACATCCTGGATGTCATTTCCCAACGATTTTCTGGAAACCAAACGAACCGCTTTGTCTTCCGACAACGAGGCGCCGATAATCTTCACTGATCACTCGCGCCAACTGCTGGGATCCTTGGATCGCCCCTGTGAGAACATCCTGATAGCTGCCGACAGCATGGATGCCATTGTCGTCAATATAAAGACTGTAGTGCGCGGAGAGGTGCCAGGTGATGGCGTCCTGACCTTCAAGGGAGTTGACACGAATAAAGGTAGTGGCGAAAGGACATCCAGCCACGACTCCCCTCAAGGCCTACAGGAGTCACTCGTCATACATTGAAGACTGACGTGACTGGGGCCTCGATAACCTTGGCACGCCAGCCTGGCCACGGAAATGGGAAACCCCGACTTGTGGCATCTATCGAGCACTTGCTCGATGGGAAGAGACTCATGATACTTATAGAAGTCCCACAACAGCGTGGCTGAGACTTGGCCACCCGCAGTCCCTGCTTCTCTGAGGAGGGTTTGCCGCCACACCGTGTCAGCCGCGCCCATGCACTTGCCAGGCGCAAACCAAGGCCTAAGGCGGGCCAGTTCCCACTCGACCGCCAGCGGTCTACGAATCCTTCCCCAAAGGCGAAACGGGCCACAGTAGACTCCGATGGGGCGGACCCCCCCCCACAGGTTTAGGACGCAGCATGGCCACAATCAAATGGAACTGGGCAGGAATGAGGCTCGAGACTTCATCACATTGAAATTTTCCAAAAGGGTCTCAAGCGCCTGGTCAGACAGCCAATTAAACTGCTGCATGTGGAAACCATCGGTGCTGACCGCCGACCCCGTTTTGTACCCCGTGCTCCATTTTCTCACGTCCGCAACACTGGGAAAATCAATTTCATGGGGGCGGGGATGAAGTCCGAAGCCTCAGGGGGTGGCTGGGCACCCGCTTTCCACAGAGCTTTGAAACGACTGGCCTCGCTGGAAAGAACCGAAAGAGGGTCGGAGACCACCGTGTGGTCGTCCCGTGGCCGTCCAGGCCTTAGGAGTGGAAGTGACCATGTGCACTCTCTTGGCCCCATTTCCAATCCCCACTTTAACCCACTCGCTCCGGAGGAGGCGGAAGAGGAGGAGGAGGCGGAGGAGGAGGAGAGGGAGGAGGAGGGAGGGAGGACGGGAGGGAGGGAGGGAGGAGGAGGGAGGAGGAGGAAGAAGGAGGAAGAGGAGGAGGAGGAGAGGAGAGGAACGGATGAGGACGAGGGAGGAGGGGAGGAGGAGGAGGAGGAGGAGGAGGAGAGGTCGAGGGGGGGAGTGGTTTGGGTTGGGAGCGAGGACTGGCGGGCAGGGGCTGAGCCTCCAGGGGGTCGAGCATGCCCTTGCGGGTCACGATGATCTGCTTGGGCTGCTCCTGCCCGCGGCCGGGCCCAGGCCTTGAAACTGCGACCAGAAGCGAAGTGTGAGGGTCGGGGTCGGGTCTCGCCTCCTCCTCCTCTCCTCCTCCTCCCTCCCCTCCTCCTTTCCTCCTGACCTCCTACCTCTCGTCCTCCTCCTCCCCTCCTCCTCTCTCCTCTCCTCCTCCTCCCCCTCCTCTCGTCCCTCCTCACTCCTTTCTTCTTCTCCTCCTGTCCGTCACCTCCTCCGCCTCGTCCCTCCACCTCCTCCTTGTTGTCCGCCCCCGCTCCTCCTCCTCCTCCTACTCCTCCTCTTCCGCCTCCCCCTCTTCATCCTCCTCCTCTTCCTCCTCCCTCCTCCTCCAACCTCGCCCTCCTCATCATCCTCCGACCTGAATGAAGAGCGATGGGTAGACATGGGGGTAAAGGACCCCGCGCGCGCGCTTCGGATTGTTCGATTCCTGCTGCGCCTCCTGGTGCTGCTCCTTCCTCGTCCGTCCTGCTGCTGCCACCTCTGTCCCACTCCTCGCCCTCCTTCTCCTGCTCCTGCTCCTGCTCCTCCTCCTCCTCCTCCTCCTCCAAATCTTCCTCCCCCTCTCCTTCTCCTTCATCCGCCACCTCGACTTCTTTTGATCCTCCTAGGCTTCCACTCCCCCCTCCGCCACGTGTTGATGCCGTCAACGGCCGCCGCGGACAAATCAGCCCAGCTCAAACGAACATCAGTTGCTTGAACACTGGCCTGACAAGATCGATATCGACCAGCACATCTTGCAGTGCGGGTGCTAAACAGCTCAGCTAAGCCAACTGTGAGCGCCGGTCGCAGATTGAGGCCTTCATGTTTCGCCAGGGCCGCCCGTCTGCCTCACGGCAGCTGCAAAGCCGACGCCGCAGGCAAACGAGCATGTCCGAGTTCACACGGCAGTCGCGCATGCTTCGGGGCACCCCAAAAGGAGTGGTGACCACACCGTGTGGTGAGTCGGTGGGGATTCAGGGTCACCGCACGGTCTTGGGACTCGGGTCGTTCTCCGAGGACGTCTCGGGCGACGGGGGCCCCCAAGGTCCCAAAGCCGTGCGTTGAGGGACCGTGCGGTGAGGTCTCTTAGGATTCCAAGGTCACCGCACGGTCTGTCACCGCACCGTTTCGGGACTCCAAAATGCTCTGCGACATCCAGTCGCGATGCACAGCGGGCTTATCGTGTTCCGGCACTGTTACGCTTCCTCTCGCCTTCGACCGACTGCAGGGACGACACGAGAGGCCAGGAAGTTCCAAGCGCGTCGCTGCGGACCAAAGTGAACGACGCAGGGGACGAGGACACCACGGGCGACCAGCATGATGACCAGGAAGAAGACAAGAGCAAGGCAGAGTACCGAGGACGAGACGGAGGACGACAGGGAGGGCGACGAGGGCCTTTGGGACTCTTCGGGGCTACGGCTGCCAGGACCGTATGGGGCTGTAGTGAGGCCTCCTGGGCGCCTCTCCATGGCCTCGGCGGGCATTTTTTTGGCTTGCCTTGCGAACAACGTCTGAACAGTTCTCGAACGGCCTAGATGGCCTCAGCCTGAGTCTAGCAAACCATACATTGCAACACCCACGTGCGTCTGTAGCGGCGGAAAATGGCAAAAGAACGGCACCCTGCTGCCGCTAACGCCTCGGCTCACGAGAGCGACCGCTACATGCACGCATGTCTGCTGCAGCCATGCAACACGCTGGGCGTGCACTTGAGGGAAGCAACCGAAAGCCAACTGACAGTCAGAAAATAGGCTATACAGCGTCTCTCAAAACAGCCCAGAGGCTCAATGACGGTCGCTGGGCGACCTCTGCGCCTGTAACAAAAAGCGAGAAGCGCGCTATGACAGACACTGTGAGGGGTGGAGACGGGGGCAATATATTTGTTTGGTAAGGAAGAAGAGGAGGGAGGTGAAGGTGAAGAGTCGGCGCGGTCGGAGTTATAACTGTCAGGAGATGGGAACGTATAACTTATACTTTGCGAAGTTGGCAACCCAAAAGGCTTGGCACAGATCCCAGACAGCGCAGGCGAGCTCAAGCCAGCTCAGCAAGGGCTCTCTGAAACTAGACCGAAGCAACAGGAACCGCAAGCGATGTCTGCACCATCCCTGGCATTTGCAAGTTGACCGCCAGAACGGAACTCGCACCAGGAGGGCAAGAAAAACAACGCGCACGCGGATCGGGAACCTTCCACGTAAGAGACAAACCACCCTACGGATATCGTCGGAAAATACGTGTGCAATAGGAACCAAGCTCGTCATCAAGCGTTTCCACGACAGGATTAGCAGGGTTGGCCGCAGCTTCAAGACGAGCGACAACACCGCCTTCGAAGCGTCATCCAAAAAAGTAAAGACTCGGCCACGGTCGGTATCGCTGCGGCCCGATACTTGCACTTGTGTAGTAATAGTGCTGACTGCAATCGTAGTAACAATGGCGTCAAGGCTGGCCGCGGTGGTAGTCCGATAACCCTAGCCGCGGTGGTGGTCCAATACTACGAGGAGGATGCTGTCATGATAGGGTTGGTTCAGGATGCGTTCCAGGATTTCCAGCGAACCTAGCGGCCCTTGATTCTGAAGTCCCCAAGGAACATCCAGAAACATTAGACATCCTCGAAATCTTGGAACATAACATTATCATGACCCTTTGCTCCTCCGAAGTAACCGCCAAGAGCTGCGACTACTGCTACTACTGCGGTCGCCAGCATTGTCCGAGACGGAAAAAATCCCCCGATGAGGGACCGCGAAAACTTCTCACACCCAATACGCAACATCTGCGTCTGGCTTCTCCGACCTGATGAGGGCGTCTGCGGCGGCCTTCTGCACGTCAACGGCGAACTGGGTGTAGACGCCGATCAGGGCGATGATGGCGAGGATCAACAGGCACTGGGAGATCCTGACAATGTCACCGAATATAATCGCATCCATCACATAGGCGATGCCGATATCGGCGGACGCAGCGATCCTGGTCTTCAAGTTGCCGGCCGTTAAGATGGCCGTGTTATAAAGCGCGACCATCACGGGGAGCGGCATGACACCGCCGACGAGCATGGGGAGGCCCCAGCCATGGAAAAGACCTCGCGACAGGTACTTGTGCTCGAACACGAGCATCAGTATGATGTTGAATATGGACTTGTACAACTCGTTCACGAGGAAGCACCTGAGCGTCTCGGCACCCGAATCCTCCTCCACGTCGTCGAGGCAGGACTTCGCCGTGGCCTCAAAGGCGATGTCGCCGACTCCATCTGAGAGGGCTGCACCAAGGCCCAAGAGCAATCCGACGAGCGGCATGTTAATTTCGCCCTCGTCACCGAGAGAGTAGACGATGATGCACAAGAGCAACGCCGCCATGGTGAGGAGCTGCGTGCGGTACGGCGTGGTCCGCGTCAACCAGATCTCCCCGAGGACGCCCGGCAGAATCGCGCACTTGTTGAGCAGAACCACCAAGGTCGCGCTGAGGCCGTTCGCGAGCGCGAAATTTTCTAGTACGAAGGTCAACGCGGAAAAGACTCCGGGAAGAGTGGCGCTGGCATACCTCTTGTTACATAACTTGAAGGCCTCCGCGCGGCCGTGCACCGCGAGGAGAAGGACGAGAAGCACAGCGCAGAGCAGCAGCGAGCCGAGCAGCAGCGGCGCGATGCGGGAGAACTCGGCCGGCATGCCGTCTTGCGCCCAGCGGAAGCCAGCGGAGCGCCACGCGAGGGAAATCGGGAGGCTGGTCAAGACAGTCACCCTCGCCGCCGTGCTCGTCTTCGTCGCCGCCTCATAGGGGACCACATGCGAACCCTACCCCTACCCCCCACGATTTCTAAGGGGGGTGTGGGGTTCACTTCGTGGGGGGTAGGGGTAGGGTTCGCATGTGGCCCCCTACCTTAGGCATGCGCGCACCAGGGGGCAAGGCCGCGTGCGGCCACGCGGGCGAAGGCTCGGCCGCGCAAGCTGGTGGGTCTAGCGGAAAAACGGGCCTTGCGCCAGAAAAGGCTCGAGCCAGAATATGGCTGCGGGGGCCTCGGCGGGCATCTTTGGGACCTCTCGGGGTCTGACTGGGCTTTTTCGGGCGTCCTCCTGGGGGCTTCTGGGCCTTCTTGGGCTGTCTAGGCGTGGCGTGGTGGTCCGTCGAGGGCTCTCTGAAGGCGCCTTGGCGCTCCCCCTGGGGACGTCTGAGGCTCTTCTTGGACCGTCTGGGTACCTCTTGGGGCGCTCTGGGGCGCCTCCTGGGTCTGTAAGGGGGCCTCCCTGGGGGCCTCCTGGACCGCTGTCGGCTCTAGGAAGCCTCCAGAAGCGAGAATGCGAGCAGTACATATCCAGCTATATATAATATAATATATATATATATATATATATATATATAGCTATATATATATATATATATATATGTATATATAATGTTTGTATACACACATGTATGTATGTTTGCCTGTATGTCTGTATGTCTGTATGTCTGTCTGCCTGTTTGTCTGTGTGTCGGTCGGTCTGTCTGTATGTATGCGTCCAAGTCGAAGAGACTGATCGCCCTGCGCGGCCCCAACTGAAGGGGCCCTGGGACACACAAATAAGTGCACACAAATAAACATATTCCCCATGCTTCCCCATACTTTCTGGGTTTCTGTCTTCCACCCCACTTCCCATGTTTTCCCATATTTTCTGGGGAGTCGACGACTAATTGTGTCTGTGTGTGTGTTTCCCCCTCCTGAAAAACCGACGGCCGCTGTTGGGCAGGCGGCCATGTGTCTCAGATGGACCAGGCCCGCGGCGGCACACCGACAGCGACTCCTGCTCAGAATGAGCAGAAATTGCCGTCGATCTTCGAACCCCTCCTTGGAGGAGGAGGAGGAGGAGGAGGAGGAGAAGGAGGAAGAGGAGGAGGGCCTCTGAATCTGATCAGAGAGCTGAGCTGTCCAGTCCATCGGGTGCCCCCCGCGGGCCCGCGGAGGCCCGACGAAGACGGTGGTCCGACGGCCTGGTCGACATCCGAGCTGCCGCTCGCGCGCGGCGAACAGAATGAAGGGGCCCCAGGACACACACATAAACACACACAAACAAAAAGATTCCCCATGTTTTCCAATACTTTTTGGGCTTTTGTCTTCCCCCAAAAAAATATTCCCCATATTTTCATTTTTTTTTGTTTTGTGTCTTCCCCCCAACTCCCATATTTTCCCATACTCTCTGAGGGATCGACGATTCATTGTGTCTGTGTGTTGCTTTCCCTCCTGAGCCACGTCGGGAAGATGCCCGAGCTGTCGCGGGCGAGGCCCAGTCTGGCCGACCGCGGACCTCTCAGGGAACGCGCGGCTCCACGGCGTCGCGGCTGCTCCACACGGCGGCCCCGGGCCTGGCCAGGACTCCTACACCTGGCTCGCCATCGCTCGGACGTCCATTCCATGTGTTTTTTTTTCGGTTTCGTGCGTGTTTTTTTTGTTTACGAAATGGTCGAGGATGCTCCTCGAAGGTCCTCGCCGAGAAAAAAGTATGCACACGTCCGAGCGATGCCAAGCTGGGGGGAAGGGCCGCCGGGCCGAGGTCGTGGTGCGCCCGCGTGCCTGCCCGCTGCTGCAACTCTGCATCTGCCACGGCGGTCGGCTGACAGCGAGCCTCGAGTCGGAGCGAGCCGAGTACGCCTCGGCCCTGGGACTGGCAAGCCTGCGCGCCAGTCCTGCGCCGCCGTCGAACGCGGACGCGACCCAGTCTTCCCAAGAGCTTCGGCGGCGGCTGCTTCCGCGGACTACCTACCAGACCACCCCAACCCAGCCCGAAGACCCGAATTTCGGGTTGGGGGGGGGGGGTTAGGGGTTCCACATGTGTCTTTTCGATGTCTCCCGCCCCCACCCCCCACTGGAAATCGAGGGAAAATATGAGCCTTCGGGTTGGGTTGGGGTGGTTTGGCGGCGGCTGCTTCAGCGGCGCGGCTGCGCCCCTCGCCGCGCGCGCAGATGCGCGTCGCGTGCCCCTCCAAAGCTGCCGTCGCCGACGCAGCCCGGGCCGGGCGGAAAGAGGGCGCGACCCTCATCGCCCAGCAACCTCAGGATGCGCTCTCGCCGCCTGACGCGACGCGTGCACACGCTCAGCTCGTGTAGCACCTAAGCCGTGCGCTCGACGGTCTTGCCGTCTGGCCGAGGGCCGTGTGGCGTCGCGGAAAGCCGTTCCGCATCTCGCCGCGACACTCGCTGGATGCCGCGCAGGTGCGCGACCCGCCGCGCGGCGACCGCCCAGGCTGACGCAAGCTGCCCGCGGCGCGCTCTCCGTCGGGACGGCTGCCCAGCCACCTCCTCGTGGGCGAGCTCGGGAGGCCCCGGCTCTCCCAGGGTGGCCTCGCCGCTGCCTGCCCACGAGGCCGCGCCGACTGGCCAGCTCTCGCTCGACCCCCTCCAGCGTGCTGCTCCAGACTCCCTCCAAGTGCTCGAGGCTCTCGACCGGCTCGGTGGCCTGGATGACTCTCTGCCAATCTCGCGGGTATGTGGCGCTGTGGATGCCACGACAACGGACACCCTGACAGTCCTATCATTGAATGAAAAATGTGTTTCACATGTGGGATCAATGCCCTAAACATGTTTGGTAACATGTGTTCCACATATTTCAAGCCTGTCTGAAGCATCTGGAAATTACCTGGAAATGATTTGGCAGCATGCTCCCCCTCCAACGATCGTCCCCCACGAATTGGGGAGACTCTCCATGGGATCCCCAGGGGATCCTATGGGATCCCCCCCCTGGGATCCGATCCCCCCATGGGATCCCCCCCCTCACCGTGAAGAGTCTCCCGACACATGTCGGAGCACCCTGGGAGGGCAACGTTAGGGACACCGCTCGGCGGCTGCAGAACGCATCGCTCCTGGCCGGTGCGGCCGAAGGCTGGAAGCCGCTGGCGCCTCGCCCTGGCATGGCGCGGCGTCGGCGAGCGACCGATGGCCAACGAAATGCCCCGGGACCCTGCCAGGCCGCGGCTCCGCGCACGTCGGAGCGACTGGGGCGCAGCAAGCTCCTGCCACGAGGCGCAGCCAACCGCGCGCAAGAGTGCATCATGCTGAAGGGGCCCCAGGACACACAAATAAGTACACACAAATAAACAGATTCCTCATATTTTCCCGTATTTTCTGGGTTTTTGTCTTCGCCCCCACTTCCCATATTTTCCTATATTTTCCTGGGACTCGACGATTAATTGTGCGGCTGGAAAGTTTATACCCCTACGGTGGCGCCGTAGGGGTATAAACTTTCCAGCCGCCCAGGGGCAAGTGTCCCCGACGACGAAACAATTTATTTTATACCGTTCTTCGCCAGTGAAATAGTCTTGGAGAGGGTTCGCGGCCGTTCTGGTGACCGCAGGCTGCCCCCACCACCCTTCTGAGGAACCGCGAGGTCACGAGCTGCCTCGTGTGCCGCCCCGTGGAGGCGCCCGCTCTCGCGCTGTCTTCGGCACCAGGATAGTCTTGGAGAGGGTTCGCGGCCGTTCTGGTGACCGCAGGCTGCCCCCGCCACCCTTGAAGGGAAATTGGGACACACAAATAAATACACACAAATAACCCGATTCCCCATATTTCCAAATATTTTCTCGATGTTTGTCTTCCCCCCCACTTCCCATATTTTCCCATATTTTCCTGAGTTGGAGGAATCATTGTGTCTGTGTGTTTTCTCCCCTCCTGAATATAGTCCTGGAGAGGGTCCGCGGCCGTTCTGGTGACCGCAAGCTGCCCCCGCCACCCTTCCGAGGAGCCGCGAGGGCACGAGCGTCGCGCACGCCGCCCAGGCCGCCAGCGGGACCGCGGGGCGCGAGAGGGCGGCGGCCGCCCCGCCCGCGGCGGGCCGCGCTCGGGCTCGCCGGGAGGGGGGGGGGGGGCGGCTGGGCGAGCGCCGCAGCGCCTCGCCAGGCCGCCAGGAGCATGTCGGGTGTCCCCAGACAGAATTCTTTCGGCGAGCAATCGAAAAAATACCCCCCGAATGCTCCAAAAAGGTGAACAACAACAATATAATAATAATACTACTACTACTACTACTAATAATAATAATAATAATACTAATCATAATAATAGAAATAATAAAAATACTAATAATAATACTAATAATACGAATAGTACTAATAATAATAATATAATAATAAACATTACAAAAATAAGAAGAACATTACAAATAATAAGAATAAGAATAATAATATTAACACTAACAATAATAATATGATAATAATACTGATAATAATGATGATAGTAATACGCGTCCTGATAATAATACTAATATTATTAATAAATAATAATAATAATAATAGTAATAATAATAATAATCGTAATCATAATAATACTAATACTAATACTACTACTACTAATACTAATAATAACAATACTAATAGTAATAATAATAATAATATTAATGATGATAATAATAATAATAAGAATAATATTAATAATAATAATAATACAAATAATAATAACAGCGCGACGGAGCGAGGGTCGCAGCGCCTCGCCAGGCCGCCAGGAGGAGCGACGTGCGCGCGGGCACCCTGGCGGCGCGCACAAGGGCGTGGAGGGAGGGGGGAGGGCTTCTTAGAAGGCGCCACTCTTGCATCTGTAGCGGAGGCCCGCGCCTTCTAGGAGGCAGGGGTGCTTCTAAGAAGCCCTCCCCCCTCCCCCCACCCCCCTCTGCGCGTGGCTGAGCAGCGCCTCGCCAGGCCGCCAGGAGTATGTCGGGCGTGTCCCCCTACAGGAGGGTTTTCGACGAAAAACAAAGAATACCCCCGAAGTACCCCAAGGAGGGCAACAAATACGCCAAACACAATCTCCAGACCATTTCTGGATCATTGTTTGATCATTGTTTTGGGGTATTTTCTAATTTTCGCCGAAAGCCCCCCTGTATCAGGGGGACGTAAGACCTGGGTACAGGGGACTCGGAAATCCCCGACGAGGTCGTCAAAAAAGTGACGAGACCGAGCCTGCATTTTGACGAGGCCTCCCGCTGCAGACATCCCACGAACCTCCCCCTCGTCAAAATCCGAGGCGCGGTCGTCAAAAAACGATGGCGAACCCGAGTCCTGGCAGACCCGGGTCTTACGCTCCCCCGATCCTGGCT